CAGAGCTAGACGGAAGACTTGCGTAGGCAAAGCTTCCTCGCCCCTTTATATCCACTCTGATGAGCTCAAGGTAGAAAAACAACCTCCATAAGCATTCAAGACAGCAAAGTCAGCGTCTGTAGTATATGGGGAAGCGATCTTCTCCCCCCTCCATCATCTTCGGCGACTTCTTGATGCTGAAGTCAACTTCCGGAGGAGGTTGGACAATGGTTTGCTATTTTATCCCTACGGCTTTCTCGACTTTTGAGAAAGCAAGTGGATAGTGGTTGGCACTTTGACAACTCGGCTAGGTAAATCTCTCAAAAACCTAGGAAATCCCTGGATTTTCAAGACATTTTATGTGTGTTTGACGCTCCCAAGCCTTAGGATCCTAGTGGACATGAGGTGAGGTGGAGTTGATTTGGCTAGAATAGAGAGGAGGTGGTGAGATGGAGTTGATTTGGAGCTTAGCTCATGTGTATAGGAGGTATGAAGAAGTGGGTTGAGGGTAGGAGGATCAGAGGAAGAAGGTCGGATGAGGCGCGGCTCCGACGTGTAGGGTTCGGAGGTTGGGATTTGAGCTGGGTGTGGGATCCGGAGCTTGCGGTTGGTTTGGCTGCTTGTGGACAAATAGGGAGGGAACAATCAGGCTGTGATGTTGTGAGGTAAGCTGTAACAGCATATGGATCGGTAGAGGCGCGACTTCGATTATATGGAGTCTAGACACAATGAGTGCTGATATGTGATTAAGGATGTGAGGAAGGGTTGGGCCTTGCAGTGGAGATTCTGCTTGGTCGACGTGGGGTTGGAAGTCGGTCGAGTATATGGTGGAGTTCGACACTAGCTTCGGTTGATTGGGTCGGAGGTAGAGATGAAACTATCGTGTCAGGTCTTGCGAGTTGGATCGAGGCTTAAAGGACTCGATCAAGTTGTCTGGTTGAGCTCGGAAGCGGAGGCTGAAGGTTGGGTTTGGAAGTGGGAGCTGGGTCGACAGGTAGAAGTCAGGGAAAGAGAGGAAGGGGATGGATATGGGATCGGCACAACTGGGTCGGCAAAGGATCGAAGAAGGGATATGATCAAGAGCCTGAAGCTGATGGGCTGTGCGACTGAGGTTTCGAATGGGAGATTTGTGTGTTCGAACGGGGAAGTAAAGAAGCCGAAGGCATTTGCCGTCATTTTAACAACGAAAGCAGGTAAGCTTGAGGCAAGCGTGAAGAGACGGTTCAACGCCAAATTGCAGGGCATGGGTATTGTAGGCGGCGGATACAGATAGGATTTATGCAGGATTTGAGCATGTATTTTTTTGTTATATATTTATTTTAATTTGCTCTGATGTGGGAGGTTAACGCTAAACTAATTTAATTTTATCAAAACCTGTATTGTTAACATCAACTGGACCAAAACTTTGATCTCTTGTTGGGGTATGAGCTCAATAAATAAGCTGTCTTAGAAGGAACATTAGAACTGAATATAGTAAGTATATTGGCTGAACATTAGAACTGAATATAGTAAGTATATTGGCTTTGGAAATTAAAATTACATGATTAATGTAGACTTAGTATTTGAAATGTGCCCAAGCCAAGTTTTAGAGTTTCTATGATATATTCCAATTTTTCATAAAAGCGGAATGCTTTATTATGGTGTTCGACTCCAAGACTGTTGAGTGCAAGTACTTCAAAGATGTATATAACTAGAGCTCTAACTCATGCGAAAGATAACAGCACTTTCAAAATGTACTTTTTTAAAGCCTCTTCCTCTCCTGGATAATAAGTAGTTATCCTTCAACTAGAACATTTGGATGCAAACATTGCTTTACTATTATGAATCCCAAGTACAATATAGTCTTGTTGCCAAATTTCTTCAAATTTTATACCCTTCTCAGCATTCAGGAAATAATATATCAGAAACTATATTTAAGTCATGCTCATTTTAAAATGCTCTTCGTATTATTTCTGGGTCATGTTTGCTATTTATGTTCTGTTTCAGGAAAGCATTGCAGGAGAGTTTCTAGATAGACTTGTTGCTTGGGTAAAAAACATTAAAGTGTCAGATCCACTAGAAGAAGGTTGCAGACTTGGCCCCGTTGTTAGTGAAGGGCAGGTATGATATTTACTCCAATGGAATTGTGAAGATAAGAGAAATTACCTTTCAGTCATTTTCCATATGTAGACTGTTATCCTTCTATTTTATTTTTAAGAAAATTAGTCATGATTTTTATGTGAGCCAATTAGTATTGGTGAAATTATGACTATTTACACTCTACAGATATATTTTTAAATTTCATTTTGATACCAATAACTCTCTAGTTCATCGAAATGTTGACCTAGAGTTGGAAGGCATCGTTCTTTTAACCGTTCATATTTTGGATGGATGTAGACTAGGGCTTCATTTGGGGCGGCTTTTTTACTGCTTATTGAAGCAACTTTTGTAGTGCAAAATTTTAATTATACTAAAGAGCTGCTTCAAAAAAACCGTCTCAAACAAAGCCTAGGTTTCCATCTACCAGTGTTGAAAAATATACAGGTTGGAAATGATTTTGGTTTTATTTCAGTATGAGAAGATAAAGAAATTTATTTCAACGGCAAGAAGTGAAGGTGCAACTATACTTTTTGGTGGTAGCCGTCCAAAGGTTGGTTTTCTTGTCAGTCATTGAAAGGCACATTTTTTTGGCATTTCTGCAGCAAAACTAATGTTCTCAAATGGCAGCACTTAGAGAAAGGGTATTTCATCGAACCAACAGTCATACGTGACGTAAATACTTCCATGCAAATTTGGAGAGAGGAGGTCTTTGGGCCAGTACTGTGTGTCAAAACATTTAGAACAGAAGAAGAGGCTATAGAACTAGCAAATGATAGCCAGTAAGTGCTTTTTGTATTGTCTTCTCAGACATTATCAAAATTTCTGAACTCTGTTTAGTGAGTTTTTTAACGCGCCTTTTCATTATTTCAGATATGGGCTAGCTGGTGCGGTGATATCAAAGGACCTAGAGCGGTGTAATCGCATTGCTGAGGTACCTAATGTTCAATCATTCCTCTAATGTTTTACATTCGTTCACTTAATTCAGCGGCTAGATTAATGCTTTGTTTGGGAAGGCTTTTTTACTGCTTCTTGAAGCAGCTTTCTCGTATAAAAATTTAATTTTTATACTAAAAAGTTGCTTCAAGAAGCAATTTTTATACTAGTAAAGTGCTTCAAGAAGCAGTAAAAAAGTCGTCCCAAACGAAGCCTAAAATGGGTTCTTATGTTTTAGCTTCATTTCTCCCCAGTTGCACAATTTTAAAACTAATAGATAGCAACGTCCTAACTAATTCCAGAACAAGGAATCCCTCATTTATTTTTTTTTACTTTGCTTTCTACTTTTGTGGCAGGAAAATAATTCAGAAAAAATTAAGTTTTTGTTTTCAACAAAAACTAGGTAGCTATTTTCCCATTGGTAGGAAAGGCAAGCCAGAAACAAGGGTTGTTTGCTCAAAAAAAGAAAAAATATAATCTTTTCCCTGTTTTTTTCTTTTAGTTAGCAACGTCCTAAGATTTAAAATCATCATGCCAAAAAAATTTCAGATTTTAATCCTACCAAATTTTACTAAGCCTTCGTTTGGGACGGCTTTATTATTGTTTCTTAAAGCAGCTTTCTAGTATAAAAATTTTAATTTTTAAACTAAAAAATTATTTTAATAAGCAATAAAAAAGCCGTCTCAAACAAAGCCAAAATGTGGACTTGTAGGATTTGAGCTTCCTTTGAGACGTCTTTCTTACTGCTGCTTGAAGCGGTTTTCGAGTACAAAAATTTAAAAAATTGCTTTAAGCAGCAATTTGAAAGCTCCCCTAAATGAAGCCTTAGTAAGTCTTACTACAGTTAAATCCTAGTTGTAGCCAAACAACCCCTTAACCTAAGCCCTAAAATCTGTCTTGACTGGTCTACAGGCGATTCAAGCTGGGATCATCTGGATAAACTGTTCACAGCCCACCTTCTGCCAAGCTCCATGGGGAGGAACAAAACGCAGTGGCTTTGGTCGCGAACTTGGTCAATGGTGAGTACATAAATCAATTGATGAAAATCACAGATCCATTGATAGTTCTCCAACATGAATTCCTTGTGCTTTCTTTCACAGGGGATTTGATAATTATTTGAGCGTGAAGCAGGTGACTCAGTATGTCTCAGAGGATCAATGGGGATGGTATTCGTCTCCCTCAAAGCTCTGATCTTTTGCTTAGCACCATTGATAATAAATGAAGCTTCTTTTTTTTTTTATAATAAATGAAGCTATGTTCTTCTTGTAAGTCTGAAAACTTGTTTATGAATGTTTGAAAGGATGCATAGAGCTTGATACCTTTTGATGAATAAAGTAGCCCGAAGCTGACTTGCCTGTATCAGGTAGCTGCTGGTGTGCTTTCCGTATTTACAAAAGTGGATTCGAGTTTTGCGTATGTTATCTGTACAATAGTATCATGCTTAGGAATATTGCAATCGTGTATCTGATGTTAATGATATGCTTTTTTTTGTGCATTAAGGTTTCATTTGGTATAGTGCGGACGTCGAACGCCGTTTGAAGACCAACCAGAATGGGCAACATCACCTCTTCACTCGGTACCACGGCTCGGTATTGCTTGGTACTGCGGCTCAGTACTGTTGATGTGATATATTTTGATTGGTTTCCAGACAACGTTCTGAGTCTAGTCTCTGCACAAAATAATTTCTCTTTGGGGTCTTGCATGCCTGCCACATAAGTTTTATATTTTTATATCTGACATTTCAATTTTTATATTTATTTATATAATATTTAAATTTTATAAATTTTTAATTAATGATTAATCAAAATATATTAATTAAAATTATCAATATTCAATCAAGGAATTAAAAGATAGAACTAAAAATTTATTAAGTTAAATCGGCATTAATGCTTAATATTATTAAATTAAAAAGCTGTTAATAAATATTTAATAAATAAATATAAATTCAAATTATATATAAAAAAATTAAAATTGTTATGTAAATCCATTTTATAATAATTATTATTATAACTGGCAGTAGCAGCATTAGGGTTCTTTGCCAAGAAGAGGGCTAAAAAAACAAAGGAAATGGCGACGGCGATCAGTGCGATCGTTGGCCGTTCCACCTCCCTGTGCTGTGCACTCTCTCCACCTCCCCGGAAAGGGAAGGAAGGACCACTCTCTGTGATTACCAGGCGAAGCTGCACCGCCGCCGCAAGTCGCCTTTCTTGGGGCGGCGCTGGGAAGAGAATGCCGAATTTCGCCCTTTTTTCTTCGAACTCCGATCAGCAACCAGAGGAAGCCGAAGGTGCCGAGCTATTGGATGAAGTTTTTCTTCCCCCGGTAACTTATATTAACTCCTCGTTTTATTCTCTTGCTTTATTTAAATTCTCCCGCTTCACCTATTAAAATATTTTCCTGTCGCTCAAAGTTGAAACTTGCAAGAGCCTGATAACAATAAGTTAGTAGTAACAAAGTTCCATGCAATGTTCCTTTTTGAATGGCATGGGAATGTGGTAGCAGTAGGTGTGTTTGTAGATGAACAGCAATACTATGAGGAATTTGTTCCTCTTTAATTGTAGGAAAAGAGTTCCCTTGAACCTAATGGAGGAGAAGTTTAGAATTCCAGAAGCAATTGGGATCAAGCGAGGCTTAAGCTAATAAAGGAAGAAGCTAAGAAGGGTTCTTAGTTTGAGCAAGGAGGATTGGTTTTGGTGGCCTGATAGAGAGGTGGATTATTGATGAAAAGTTTGGAGATAGGATATTAAAATTGTTAGAGAAAAAGGTAAAAGGATAAGTTTTTGAGCAGATCATTCGTTCTTATTACTTGAGTATGATTCTTATTTCTAATTGCTGAAAATATATCAACTTGAAAGTTAATTTGCGAAGAAATTCTCAAGCGCGCTAATTTGTCGGCCAACGGTAAGATTTGCATAGTGTTTAGGGTTTAAGATGTGATCTCTTTACATAGAAATTAAGGCGCAGATATGTAACATTTTTCATAGTTAGTGCAAGTTGATCCAACGTACAAAACTTTACAAGTTCGTTAAGAATGATAGACAGACCAAGACAAGACTGCTTGCTAACTGTTTGACGAAAAGACTGAAAGACTGGTGAGGAACAATTCCTATCTGCATTGTTGCAAAAGTTGATTTTGGATCTAAGGGGGATTTGTTGAGGACCTGAGGTTTATGTGGAAAGAATGTTGATTTTGGGAGTTTATCAGATTAATCAGTAGGTGGAATTTGTTTTCTTACTTGGCTCATAAAACGGTAATAATAAGATGAATCCAGCTGCTATAATTGCTTGTTGATGAGGAAAAACATCGGAGTTGAAAAAAAAGCTGAGAAGCTGTTTGAAATGTGTTTGATATAAATTCTGCAGAAACAAATGTACACAGATCTTAGCGATTGCATGTTAAAAGATTTTTCATAATCTACTCAAAATGGATCAACCAACCATCTTATCTACCTTTCTGCTTGAAGAAATTTATATTTTCTTTCCTAATACTGTTAAGCAGGACCCCTCGACCTTTCAGTCCAGAGCAACAATGCTAGCAGGCACAAAGCAGCAGTGCTGCTCTGAAGCACGACTAGCAGTAGTTGTTGCGAGCTATATTTCAATTAAGATAAATTGATTTTTATCACGTACAAACAGCCTTTTACGTAGTGATTCCTACCAGACTATTACCTTCTCTTACATATTGTACACACAGCCTTTCATATTACCTTCTCTCATATATTGTACATGTTAATTTCCTTAAGAAAAAATAAGCTAAAACTCTTGAACATCGGGACGATTTTTAGTGTAATAGTTGAATTTTTTTTAGAAACTCCAAAGTTAAGCATGATCATACAAGAGCGCTGCTGGGATGGGTGATCTCATGGGAAGTTACATCAAGATCCAAATAGACAATCATGAGACCATTGGCCAAAATGGATTATATCTCGATGATTAAGGCTTCCTTTGGGACGGCTTTCTTACTGCTTTTTAAAGCAATTTTTTAGTTAAAAAATCAAAATTTTTGTACTAAAAAGCTGCTTTGTGAACAGTGGTGGAACTAATGGTGGATGCTCGACTTATCTCGATAGAAAGAATAGGTGATCTAGAAATCTTTTTTCTTCTTCCTGTGATCTTTTGACCTAAAAAATGGTGTAGGATGATGTTGATTACTTGTGGAAGCTGGTTGCTGGCTCTGTTGGTGGTGGTGCTGTGGTAAAATATGGTAGCATTCTTTTCCCTGACATAGCTAGACCTAATATTGCGCAAGCTCTGCTGATGGTTTCATTATCAGTGCTGGTTGCTGTCCTAATTTTAATAAAGGAGAGCTACTCAACATCAAATGAGGACCTCTCCTAAAAAATGTTCTGTATCAGTATGCTTGGTAGTAGGAAAAAAATTCAAGCTAATTTGGATTCTAGCGTGGCTTTCTTGTAATATTTGTTGAATCAACTCAAATTCTCTCTCTCTCTCTCTTTCTCTCTCTTATATATATATTATTATTATTATTTATTAAAAAAATGTAAAATTAATTTTAATGTAAATGTTATATATTATATTTTATCTTTAAAAATCAATATAATTGCAAATCATTTAATTAAGAGTGACATATATACCTTTCGAAAATAAAGAAGGATAAAATTGCATTGATAAATAACTGTGTTTATTGGATATTTATTTAATACAGAATTATTTTAACAAATTTTAGATGGAACGCTCTCTCAAAAAATTTGGAATGAGGTATAAATTTAATAATTTTAAAATAATATTATAATGTCTTCTGATATTTTCAGAATAAAATTAAAAATAATACAAGTATTTAGAAGTATTTATAATTTGATAACAAGCTATATATCAAACTTATATTTAATTAAATTCATAGTACAAATAAATTATATATATATGAATGAATAAGGTTCTACTCTTATAGGGAATTGAAATCATTCGCCCTATGTTGAGAAAATTTAATTTGCAAAACGTTTAAAATTTTATAACGCTTAGAATTTGTATTGCACTCATAATATTTATAACAAAAAAATCTTTTAAAGTTCATTATTATAGTGTTTTTTTTTTATCACCGCTATTATTAAGAATTTTTTTATTGAATAAATTTAAAAAAAATTATCTCGATAAAGTCAAGAATTAATATATTATTATTAATATTTTTTTTGTCATTTAATCATCACCTATCATTATACTCCAAAATTTATCTTTATAAATATAAAATTCAACATATATTTCATATATTTATTGATGTGACATTGTAAATGCAAAAAAGGTTTTTGTTTCATGAATATTAGTACACCATTTTTTTAAAGAAAAAAAATGTTAATTTTTTTAATTAAAAAACGCTAAATTAAATGACCTCAAAGCCATTTCCTAGCTTCAACTGTACACCAATATTATTTAGACATTTATAAAATAATAGTACTTAAATTTTTTAAATATTTAATTCAAAATTGAATTAAAAATCATATGATTCGAATTAAAATTATATATATATATATATATATTAGGCCAACCCCACTGAAACTCAAAATATAAGCATGAGCGGTGGGCCCACGCAAGCATCAATAGAAATGTAAAATAGACCGTTATTATAGTTTTCACGCGGCTTCGTCTTCCCGGGCCCACTTTCCCACCACGTCTCTTCAAACACGCTTCATCCTCTTCCTCCTTTTGGCTTTAAACCAACGCCATTCTCCTCATTAATTCCCTCCACCTCCTCTCATTCCTCTTCCATCTAAACTTCTACATGGAAGCCATTGCAGCCCTCCTCCTCTTCCTCCTCTCCCTCTGCATCCTCTTCTTCCCTCTCTCCAAGCTCCTCCCATGGCTCCACTCCTTCCTCTTCTCTACTCATCCCAAACCCCCTAACTCTTCATCTACGACGCATACCACCGAAAAGAGAGAAGAATGTGATCTTGAAACTGTCTTTGCGACCTTTGATTCTGACGGTGATGGCTTCATCTCTAAAGTAGAGCTAGTAGAGTCCCTAAAGCGGCTCGGCCTCACGGCCACTGGAGATGAGGTGAGAAGCATGATGGAGAAGGCGGATACCAACAATGATGGTCTCATTGACTTCAATGAGTTCAAGGAGCTTAGTTTGTCGTGGGGGCTAACGAGTAGAGGCGGTGGGGACGGCGAAGAGGATGGTGAGTTGCGGGAGGCGTTTGCGGTGTTCGACGGCAATGGTGATGGCATGATAACAATGGAGGAGTTGAGCTTGGTGCTCAAGTCCTTGGGTTTGAAAGAGGGGGAGAGGGTTGAGGCTTGCAGGGAAATGATAAAGAAAGTGGATACGAATGGAGATGGGATGATCAACTTTGAAGAGTTTAAGAAGATGATGATTATGAAGGAAGGGAAGATCTTCTAACTTAGAACAGGGCAAGTTTTTTGTTGTTATTCTTCTTCTTTTGATTGCCTTATATGACCTACATTTATATATATAATTTTTGCCTTCTTTTGTATATATAGCTTTGATTTTTCCTAAAAAGTGTAGTGATGAATTAGGTAAATTTATGTCTAATACTAATGTCTTTCTATTTTGGTTGTGGGAAGTGAAAACTTGCTCACTTAAAGAAGGGAGGTGAGGGTGATGTTGATGTGTTAACTAACCTGATAATTGAGGGCCAAATGGCATAGAGAGGGTGATTTATGGGACCAACTATTCTCTTCACATTGGATTACTTATTCTTGGTTATAGTATTGCACCCCCAAAAAAAAAATCAATTGACTCAAAATTTTTGATGTAATAAAAAAAATTATCTCAAATGATTTGATTATTATTTTAAAAATTACATAAATTGGTTGGTTTGATGCTCATGTAATTTAGTATTTATCATAGTGTTGTTTTGCACATGATTGCTATCACTTTTCTTCTTCAAGAGAAGTAATAAATTCACAAAAGAGGTCTATTTTGTAATGATCATGAAACTATTAAAAACTAAACTTACAAAATTGTCATTTTGTTCATTTTTCAACATAGATTGATATCTTAGTGTATGGTATTTCAAATGAAAACAACTTTAAAAAAAAAGTATCAAATGATGGATCTATTCCACCTATTTTCCAAGCTTATGGCTGTCTTCATTCAAGGATTAACATATACATGTGTGTAATTTGTGTTAAAATTAACTAGGATAAATTTAATATTTTATTTGGGATAATTTTTTTCCAGCTTTGTTTTTCAAACCTCATTTGGGACGGCTTTCTTATTACTTCTTAAAGTAACTTTTCAGTACAAATTTTTAATTTTTTATTAAAAAGTTACTTTAAGAAGCAATAAAAATGTCGTCCCAAACAAAACCTTAATATTTTCATTCCAATGGCGTTATTTTATATATACACATGGAAGCATTCCAGAATAATGAATGATTGTCAACTATTTATGGAGTTTAAAACTTAAAATAAACCTATGTCAACACTACATTTCAACAACACATATTCATACATTCTTTATATACATGACTATATATTTATAAGAAATGGTATTTTTTTCATGTGTTACTACTAATACACAATATTTCATAAAAAAAAAAAAAAACTCTACAAAAAACCTATGAAAGGGAGTTTAAAATATATGGCAAATGTTTGTCAATGTCTAGTAATCATTTTGATGTTCAAAAGCGAATGAGAATGTCAACAAAAATCTCAGATGAGTAGAGTTACATCGATAATGATGTGGAATTATCCTTCAAATAACGAAAGCTTGCAGGGAGGAAAATATCGTGCTAGAACAACAACAACAACAACATCAATCTTTTATCCAACTACATGAATCTTTTTTATCCATCGTATCCTGTTAAGATTCAAACTCTCATTCCTGTCATGATTATTCAATGATTTTTATGCTAGTTGTAAACTAACTAATGCAACCCTTCACTTTTCTTATCTAAAATTTGGTATCAAATTTATGAAAAAAAAAATCCAGAATTTGAGATCTGGAATTGACTATGCTATAACAACAAAAATCTTATGCTAGAACAGAAAAAAAAAAATCATTAATTTTGTGGATAATGCAAAAACTTAAAAAACATTTAAATTTGACAAATGAGAATGACCACCAATCCGATAATCAACATCTTCTATTCACACAAGCTAATTTGTCAAATGGAGCTCCACAAAAATTAGGGACGACATTTCAACTCAGCTGAAAATTTTGCCTTAAACAAAAAATCTAGTCATTTATTCTGGCCGGGCTTGCTAATGTCCAGCCTTCTATCCACCTAACATTTCCACAGGTAGAAAAAGATGCCCTATCAGCACCTAATAAATCCTCTCGCTTTGAAGAGATTATTACGTAAGAAGTCCGGACACAAAAAACCGTTCAGTTTTGTAATTCTGAACAGTAAAAATGTAGTTAATGTTCATCACTATGCTCTTATTATTCACCCATGCACTTTTACTATTCACAGCCAGAAAATCGAACGATCTGTGTCCGGACTCCGCACGTAATAATCTCTCCTCACTTTGGGCATTAATGGAAAGGATTGTTACCTGCTTATCCTAAAAAGGACATTTCTTGGGATGGAATGCACAAACTCAAGAAAGCACTAAAAATTTGATATTTATGCAATCAAGAGCTTGAATATTATTTATTTGGGCTTAAATATTAAAAAAGGAAAATCAAAAGGCAAATGGTCTACCATTAATCCAGAACAAATCAAGGTCTCTCAGGTTTTAATTGTGGATGATGGCCTGCAACGGTTGGAAACGTCATTATAAACGCGTTCATAAGAAGAAAAAAAATATTAGTAATTTATTAGGACAACTAAATCCACTAATACTTTAATATTTATCCATTAGCTGAGCGAAATGTTTATAATTTTAAGTAGGAATATTAAAACAAATCAAGATGCTTATGGTTTGCTAGTACCGTGTTTCATTGGACTTCGCCAGTTAAGCTAGCAAGTGGCTGCATTTTGTACCACCTGGAATGATGTGAAATAAATCATATACAAACTGAAGGTATAATTTAAACCTTAGAGCATCTCCAACCGAACGTCAAATATGTGTATGGCATCGTTCGGTCGCTCTAGTCGAACGTCAAATCTTCCGCCATTTGCTTGTTGGTGAACAGTGCGACGCCAATATTGGTGCTGCACTGTCCACCAACACCATTTTTTTGTCTCAACCGCATCTGCCGAAGAAACGCGCCAAAGAGGAGAAAGACGGTTACTTTCACAGAAGCGCTCGAAATGGATTTAGATTGGAGATGAATCACTACATTTTTAAGTTTCACTGTATTTTGGAGTGAAAATTGAGATTTCGATAGGAGATGCCCTTAGGATTTCTGAAACCCTAAGTCCAACGGTCAAAATAGCTCGTAAGGGGTACACTAAGAGTTTAATTTAAGGATCCAATTTGAATTAAATTAATTGCAAAAATAATTCAACAAATCATTGCATTGTTAGAATAGAAGTTTGAATAACAATAGCTTGCAGCAATTCCCTTTCAATATAGTAACAAAAAAATTACAGGAGAAGCTTTCCTTCAATAAGGTCTGAACCTCTTATAATGGCTTACATGCTTTAAAACAAGAATCAAATTCTCCTCCACTTTGAAAATGAAAGGAGTGTGGCGTATCTGGTGGTTTTTAATAGGAAGTCAAAGTTGATAACTTACTGTACATTCACTAAAACAAGTGTTCATATTCACTTAAGTGAGCTGGTTTTACAAAAGAAAACAAAAGAAAAAAAAAAGCAGAAGAAAGAAAAAAGAATGGCGAGAATAAAGCCTCAGATACCTTGGTTTGGGAATCACAATCCTCTTTCCATGAAATCGCAAATCAAAGAGAAAATTTTCAGGCCTATCAAGCAAAGTATATTGCAAGGGAATAAATGTGGAATGTGAGTTACCATATGTGTATGCTGTTGAAGGCACCCCTGCCAGTCTTACAAGTTGCCTTTCAGCCATTTAAGTACTCCATTGGTAACTGACCTGTAAGTTTCAAATAAACCATTTATGCGTAGTTTAGAATCACTGGTGCTCAAGAAATGTTAAAAAAAGATGCAACTACGTGGTAGGCTATAGAACAAAATCAATTTGATTGATCTTTTTTTGTGACGATATTTATGATTCCCACAGCTCAGGGATAAAGGCAATCAAATACTGCAGTTGATACCCGCCGTGGCTTAGCTCATGTGGGGGGAGCTCGGTTGGGCAAAGCCCAGGTCCTGGGCTCGAATCTCATGGGCGGCCGTGACAGCCTTAAGTGTTGGCCCGGATGAATTGAATAAATTGGTGTGGGTTGTCTGCTATGTCTACCGGAATTTACTCGCCGCTTTGCGGAGTGGTTCCCGTCAAAAAAAAAAATACTGCAGTTGATTGAGGAAGAACTCCACTAGTTGCGAAAGAAATTACAACATGAACATATTACTAGCAATGAAAAGATTTCATTTCAACCACACTTGCAGAAGTTGTTTTCTTTATGAAAGTATGATATCACTGAAAATATGGACTCAATATATGACGTGAACAGGTAGTCACAATATAAAAAATATTGGGAAGTATAGTAAGGATTTATTGGGTGAAATATATAATTGCTTAACCTGAAAAGGAAATCTTCTTTGCCCTTATAAATTGGATAAAATAAAATCCTGAGTTGCGTCTTCAAATCAAACTGATTGGACATCATTCAATAAATCTAAAGTTCTTCCAGATATGACAGTCTAAGAGGTTATATGATTGGAAATTACCCGGCAAAATCTTTAAGCTTCTTCCAAATGTCAGCCTGTTCAATCGATGGCTCTGAATTATTGATCTCCTTGCTTCTTTTACTCTCACCTTTTCTACCTGCAAGATCATAAAAAACAGTCTTCATGCTCATGAAAAATAATTTTAAATCCACAAAGCTATCAAATATTTTATAGTTATTCAAAGAAAAAAAAGGAGATACTACATGTTTAACACACAAATCATATGACAAAAATACAACCCAAATACATTTATGTACAATAATAAGTTAATAACACTTAAACCTTGAACAAAGGAAAGCTATCAACTTTCTTTATGAATAATTGGTTTAATACCTGATGAATTTGTTGTATCATGGGAAAAAAGTCTTATAATACGTGGGTTTTAGTCTATGATGCAACGATACAGACAAGGGGGCACAAACACGATACGACAGACACTAGACACATCTATTAAAAAAATAATTAAAAAAAATCTTATAATAATAAGAAAAAAATTAAACTAGCACCAAAAATAACTCCTGGTATTTGGTAGTAGCAAGAAGTTGTTGTCAAAGTTGAAGCCAAATCATCACTCACTGCAATCTTAGAGGTGGAAGTCGAAGTAGAATTCGAAGCCAAAGTCCTAGTTGAAGTCAAGCGTTAGTGTCAAGCACCTCGATTGACTATCATAGTCAAAGCCAGGCCTTTCTGTGTGTCAAAGTCGAAGTCTTCGCTAGTCAAGTTGCATCAAAGTGGGATGGCATTGTGGTTAGAGGCATTAGACTCGCTCATCTCGTCTCTAAGTGTCTCCCACCCTTTCTTGTATAGAAGAAAAGCTAGACAAACTAGAACATAAAATAAAATTTCTTAATTAAATTTAATTTTATGCCACTCATATGTTTGTCCATGTCTTAGGCATATTGAGGTATGTCAACCATGTGTCTAAAGCAAATTTTACTTCTAAATGAACTTGACGCAATTTTGAATATGTCCGGGCATGTTGGAATCATGCTGATTCAGACAAGGAGGACATTTAGCAATGAATGTGGTTCTTAGGGCATGCATTATAACTTTAGGGGGTTTACATAAATATCACTCAAAATATTAATATTTACATATTTAACATCAAAACCTCACTATTTAAGCCATCTAGTACTATGTTAACAGAGTTAGCTAATCTCATCAGACACTTTCCAAATCTTGCCCAACATGTCAATAGGCATGTCGCCGCCTAGAACAATCAATGCCTTCCTTTGGACCGATCAAATGCTTTCACTTGAGAGCTCCTGTGTGATTTCCCTGACTTCTTTGTTTTCAAGGGCTTAAGGAATTTCAATAAGAGCATTGCAGCTATTGAGCATTGCCGCTATCGAGAGCTTGCAATTTAAGGCATCAACAGGTACAGACGAGGAAATCGCACAAGAGCTCGCATGCTAGGACATCAATGGGTCAAAGGGGTGTAGAGCTCACAAGCTATGGCATCGAGAGGAGTAGACAAGATGAACTTGCATCCTAGGGAATCAATGCTTCTGAGGACATGAGCCACAAAACTTGCAACATGATGACAGGAGTTAGGGATTAATATTTTATATTTTATTTTCATGTTTTGAGTGCTATGTATGTAAATCCCTGTGTGTTTGTGTGTGTATATATATATATATAAGAACAACAATATCAAGCCTTTATCCCACCTATGTGGGTTGGCTACATGAATATTTTCTCTCCATTATGTCCTGTTAAGAATCAAATTCTCATTTAAATCTAAAAAAAGTGGTCATTTTTAATATTTTCTAACCAAGTTTTTTTAGGTCTATCTCTACCTTTCTTAACATAGGCTAAATCTAATACATCTATTCTCCTAACCGGGTCGTCGAAAGGCCGATGTTGAGAAAATTATTATTTTTTAAATAAACATAAATATTATTAAAATAATTATAGGAAAATTCAACAGAATAAAGAAAATAAGAGTAGCATTACGTAGATATTAAATTATTTAAGTAATAATTAAAAAAAAAAGAATATTTAACTTTCATTGTTTATGAAATATATTTCTAAATTTAAAATTTATTATTCAAGATAGATATGTCGGAGATGCATATTTGTCAAAAAAAGAGGATTTCAACATTTTTTTTCTTTTAACTGAACACGTAGATAACGTGTTCAACACGTGTCGAGCATGTTTAGGGCAAATGCACATATTCTTCATATGTCTAACACTACATACTTCATTATTATGAAGTGTTAGTGCATGATAAATGTTAGTTTTGCAAATAAGGAAGATTTTAGTGGCATGTATAAAACCAGTGTTATGATTTTTAAAAAATTTCACAATAACACATAACACAAGCCTTCTACTAATCATAGTTAAGTTGGCATAAAAAGAACTTCTTACTTAGGGATCTGCCTTTTGGACGGCCAACAGAATTATCATGCAAGGATGATAATTCTTCAAGCAACTCACGCTCTCTTCCACTGCAAGAGAACGCAGAGTGAGGACTCATAAAAGAAAATAAACAGAAAAAGCACATAAAACATGATAAAAAGGTTAAAAACTGCAGTTCGATGGTAAATATACAATAATCAAATCAATTGAAAGACAAATGAAGATAATTTCAGATGGGAGCTGTAAATGACACCTAAAACGTAAGCTGTTGAAATCTACACTGATTACATTTCATACAGGAAAAATAAATTGCTGCTATGCGACTATCCTGTGGAACCCAAATTCTCTTGGTAACTTCATGCATTTAACAGTAGGGATGTAGAATCATAAGTTGCATTCAAGTGACTCTATGAGAAGCAATAAAAATTTGGTCAAGGCCTTTGATGTAGGTTAACTTTGGAATGTAGTTTAATATTAGCGAAGAAGCAATAAAAATACATAATAATTAACATGTCAGCTGAGTATGCAAAGATTGTGATTTCATTGCCAATGTTAATTCAAATCCAACTAGTATGCATGCAATAGCAAGCTGCAGTTCATGACAATCTTTTATATTTACTATAAGAAATAAGCTGCATCTGCAAAGATGGAACTAATTGGAAATGCTAGGTGACAATGTAAAAAATTAGAAAAAGTAGCAAAAATCTAACGTCAAAGTTTGACTGAACTGCAGCATGGGTTAGGAGAACTCTATTTAGTTTCCTATCTAAATGGCAACAGCAGTACTTTTACCAATAACTAAGTTTTTTTACTATAAAAATGTTTCAGATTTATAACGAAGGTTTTAGGCAGAAAAAATGATGAAATTGCAGATTGAAATCATAGAACAACGGCAATCATAAGAGATGGGGAACCAATTAATTTAATCTTCTTACAGTAAAAAACCAGCTCAGGTCGATATGTAAAGTTTAGAAACAATTTGAATTTTGGTTAAGTTAAAATAGTTTTAAGGATAAAAATCACAGATGAAATCAATAAATTTGCCTAAAAAAACATTAAAAATAAAAGAAGATGGGTCCAAAAATGATTATAAAGATAGAAAGCATAACAAATGACATCATTCTACGGCTAACTAGAAGCATTATCTCAAGTGACAAAAAATAAAGCACCTGATACGACTAGGAATTGTAACTTTCACAGTGAACAAGTGATCACCACGTGTGGATGGCTTGTTTAACTTGGGGACACCTCGTCTTGCTAGAACTATAACATCACCAGGTTGGGTGCCAGGAGGTATTTGGAGTTCAGTGGGTCCATCAACTGTCTTCACCTGATGAAATTAAGCTTTTGCAACAAAGAGATCAGTTCAAGTTCATAGCTATTGAATAATGTCATAAGACAAACATTTGAAATTGAAAACCCGAAAATACAATAATATAATAAAAGGGGAATTTAACGTGCACTAAACTAAATGTATGCAATTACTGGCATTTTTCGCCCACGCTATTGTATACGAAAAGAAAGAAAAATATAATAAAGCACTTAAAAACAAGAAAAATGCTAAAGCAAATTAAAAATATATCAAGCAGTGCCCAAAGAAATTTGGGCACTTAAGCATGTAGTATTTTGAAGCAAGTCTCATTAGATATATATAGCAAAACCTTTCAAAGTGGTTGCATACAATTGATCTCTATTCCAGAAGCACAAATATTTAATAGTCATGCAAATACTGGCTGTTTGTTAAAAGAGAATTTTATGTTCTACGAGAACAAAATGTATCATTTAGGGCTTGTTTCACGAGAACAAAATGTATCACTTAGTGTCCAAATAAAATTGGATCTCACTTCCAGAACTGAGTTCAAGCCTTTGTTAAATTCAAATTAGATGAAATTGCGTTTTTTAAACTCATATTGAAAAAAGGTGAGGAGTTTCAAATTTTAAGGCTAGGAAGTCACCTTCCAATTTACTTTAAATAATAATAAAATAAAATATTATTTTTACCTATAATGATAATAAATCAATGAAAGTTTAATATAATGATGGGTGAAAAACTAATAAAACTCAAGTTAACTCAAACAAACACAGGAGTTGATTTAATGAGAAATGAATTTCTGTTTAAAAAAATAATAGATATCACAATTCACAACACACTTAAATGCAACTCACTTCCAGAAGTATGATCCAAACACTTGCAGTGAAATAAGCTATCCCTAACAATAACTAATACAGTGATAAGCATTTTCCTTAAAGGGAACCCACCAAAACAAAGACTCGAGTATTATGGTTCAAATTCATTTCAATCACCATTAAATACAATATTTGACCATGAATTTAAATATTTGAGGCAAAGGAAGGTTAAGATTTCACCTTAACGACAGCCCCCAAAATCGCATCAATGTAATTTATGGATACAGTCGAACATAAGTTGATGCCATCTCGTTGTATACCTGGTATCTCCACAACATCAAGGCATATATAAAGATCTCCAGGAGGTCCCCTGCTTGACAAAGGTGGAAAAGGCTAGCCTCAATAATTTCATATTACATTATGTAGAATTTCATAAGCTGGTAAACACAATGACCAAACATGTTGAAATTATCAACAAACAAACAAAATCATAAATCAAATAACTAAAACTGTGCCGATAATAGTGGATAAACATAATGATATATTTTGCATTACATGAATTTTAAGGGAATCTTTCTATGAATATACTTCAATGTAAAGATACAGTACAAAAAATTCTTCAATTTGCAGCGGATGTTGCGACAGAATTTTTTTTTTTTTAAATTGTGATGGTTTTGCGACGGAATAGTTCGTTGTAATTTTGTGATGAATTTGCAGCAGACAATCCGCCGTAAATGTGCGGCGGAAAAATCCGTCATAAACCCGCCGCAAATCCGGAGCAAAAAACCATATCTAAACCGGCTACCTAGCCATTTCTTTCATTTGCTCGACCTATTTTGACAGCGCCCGCAAGCTCGTTCGACGATCATCCGAAGTCACACTTCCTCGACATTCGTTGCCTTCGCAGTCGTCATGTCTCTTCTCACTGCCTGTTGCTCGCCTCCATCGACAATGTTCCTTCGTGTCACATCCGAAGTTCATTCTTCTTCGTCGTTCGACACATCCTTTGACGTTCCTTCCACGAAGTTCCTCCTTCGACGACCAGCTTGCTCGGCTCATCTCACGACATTCCTCCTCTCAGCCAATCAGAGCTTGCTCGTTGAGAATGTATCCATTTTCTTGCTTAAATTTTTCGAGTATATTATTCTTTGTGATGGTGTAATAAATGGAGATATTATTAGTAGAATTCAAGTTGGATGGTTGAAATGGAAGAATGCATCGGGCTTATTGTGTGATAGATAAATTCCCCTCAAAATTAAGGAAAATTTCTTAAAAAATGGTGGTGAGACCTGCAATGCTTTATGGTTTAGAATGTTGGCCATTAAAGAGAAGCATAATATTAAGTGTTGCAAAGATGAGGATTAGAGAGAGTAGCCTTAGATGGCTTGGTCATGTAAAACGGATTCATGTAGCCGACCCCACGTAGTGGGATAAAGACTTGATGTTGATGTTGTTGTTGCAGAGATGAGGATACTAAGGTGGATGAGTGGCTTTACTCTTAGAGTTTACTATTCATGGTAATGGTATAATGGATGGAGATATTATTAGTAGAATTCAATGTGGATGATTGAAGTGGAGGGAAGCATCGAGCTTGTTGTGTGATAGAAAAGCCCCTCTCAAACTTAAGAGAAATTTCTATAAGATGGTAGTGAGAGCTACAATGTTTTATGGTGCAGAATGTTGGCCATTGTTAAGTGTTGCAAAGATGAGGATGCTTAGGTGGATGAATGGCTTTACTCTTAGAGTCTACTGTTCATGGTGATGGAGTAATGGATGTAGATATTATTAGCATAATTCATGTTGGATGGTTGAAGTGGAGGAATGCATCAGGCTTGTTGTGTGATAGAAAAGTCCCTCTCAAACTTTAGGGAAAATTCTATAAGATGGTAGTAAGATTTGCAATGCTTTATGGTGCATAAATGTTGGTCATTAAAAGAGAAGCATAATATTAAGCTAAGTGTTGCAGAGATGAGGATGCTTAGGCGGATGAGTGGCTTTACGGTTGGGAAACTAGATGTATTAGTGTGTTGCACTAATTCACACACACTCTTCTATTGCCCAATATACAATAAGTGACTGATGGAATCGCACAACTATTCATGCAAACTCCTAAAATTATCACTATTGCACATTTTTTTTTAACTTGAAACAAATCGAATTATTTGGCCGTAGGAATTTATAGTCCAAGTATGTTTAGATATTCAAACGTATAGAAGTTGGATATATATTCATCTGTTACTTGGACGCATACATTAACACATGAATTTCTGAACTGAGTGAACTATTTCATTCAAGCAGGTTGTCGGCTAATTTCATTTATATCAGAGAGTAGGTTTCATTATCGATGTTTCAAACACAAAAATCAGGCCTACTTCACACCAGATGAGATTACTGTTGATCCATACCCATACTATCCCCACCATCTTCTCAAGGATTCTCTGCTACTTATTCCTATCTACCATATGTTCTGTCATTTTACTACCCACAACCCCATCAACACTATGCAATTGGACCTTCTACCCTGACTTGTAGCTGAAACTTCCACGTAGGCTGCCGCAGCACCAACTGTAGATGGGAACATGTTGATTCAGCCTGAGGGTGACACGTACGTAAATTTGTATGTTTTATATTACACATATATTTAAGAAATAATATTCTTTAACTAAATATTTTGTGCAAGTTTTATCCACCAAAGCAGCCCACGCACAACAAACGAGATATCATACGAAGCAGGTTTGATGCTCCATATGTCTCTTGGAAGAAAATCCCAAAGGAAGTGCATTACACATTTACATGTAGTTCAGAGAGCTTGCGGTTAGTAAATTGCAATATTATTAACATTTCTTCATATTTTATTGCAATAATAAAGAACTTGTTTTTCATATTTTGTATGTATTACAATCTTGTTTATAAATTTTTGTATCAACTTAAAGGCATAATTAATCTTTGATCGAGTCTAACTAAATGCATGTTTGATGCTAACATTTTAAACATATAACCTAATCGTTAGACAACTTTGAATTTAATTTTTTTTAACCAAACTCCAATGTGCTTTACACTCTTTTTCAAGTCAAACTAAAACCCATATTCAATTGATGATCATGGAATGTCTTTTAACCCTTATAAATCATGTTAATACATTTGAGCTATAAGTAGTTGCTCAATCTATCTTTAAAACAGTCAACAAAACCGTTACAACAATCCTATTACTAATAAACAAGACAACATCAATCTTGAAAGTATTCCTTCAATGCATGCACACTTGCTCCTAATCTACTTGAAATACCTAGAAGGGGGAAACCCATACTAGTTAACTATTATACTCCTTGAAAAAAAAAATATCTATTATACTCCTTGGACATTACAACTCAAAGCTCAATGACGTTTGCAAATTGAGTCCACTAGTGGACTCCTATGTTGCACCGATACACCTATTTATGAAGGCGCGCTGTATCCGATACACCGATACACGGATACGCCTCCGATACTCCACCGATACGTGTTGGATACGCCAAAGACGTATCCAATTAAAATACTATTTAATTTCAAAAGGACACGCGTATCCGATACACGTGTCCATTGAAAAACAAAAAGAAATCCAAAAAAAAAAAAGATCCGTCGTATTTACTTCCGTGGCTACGAGCAAAGTTCTCTCATTTCCGAGATGCATTTGAATCTCTTGATGATATGAGAATATTAGAAATTACTAATCTTTCACTTGATGAGCCTGAATTAAAAGCTATGATATTTATTGAAGATGATATAGAAGTTCAAAGACAAACCACTGAAGAAGCTAATCATATCATTCCTTCTATTGAATAGTTGAAACTTT